TTTTTTTTTATTCATTGGTCCATCTTCTGCTTATCCTCACTTGGGTTGCATGTGTGGTGGGCTATTTATTGTATACTAAGGAAAATGTTATAAAGAAACATCTGAGAACCACAACAAACAATGAAAGTGGGCTTGACCATGCAAATGAGGAGCAAACGGAATCGGACAGTGACTGTTGGGCTTGGGCATCACTCATCTGATTGGCTGCTTTTGTTCTTTTGAACTGGAAGTGTCCCTTTTCCTTTTTCGGGGGACGGGTTGGCAGGGAGGGGGTTCACTCACAGGCAACAGACCTCTTCATTACAGTTAGGTGGCCATGCTGTGTGGACTCTTGAATGGTGTGGCATGCCGATGATGTGTGGAATATAGAGGAAAAAAAAAACAGATGGCACTACAGGCTCCTCAGAGGCATGAGAAGGCCGGCTGGCCAAGGGAAGAGTTGAGCTGCCTCCTGGTTGGGGATGGAGCTGTGGGGAAGACGAGCATGATCATCAGCTACATCTTCAATGGGTACAAGAGCGAGTACAGGCAGACGACTTTCGACGTGTTTACTGGTAGGACAAGATCATCAAAAAAAAGTGGATAATGGACCATAACTGATTTAATGTTTATTACTGGCAATTCACAGGTTTGGTTTATGTAAATGGAGTGCAAACACGACTTAAACTGATCGATACAGCTGGACAGGTAAATACGTCATGGTGACTGTGAAATTTCTTCCCAAATGATGTCTGAATTTGTGTTGCAACAGGATGAGTTTGGCCATCTTCGCTCTCTATGCTACGCCCACGTGGACGTCTTCATCCTATGTTTCAGCCTCATCAATCCCGTTTCGTTGGACAACATCACTTCCAAATGGATCCCGCAGATCCGTGCACAGAATCCCAGCTCCCCCATCATCTTGGTGGGTACCCAGTCTGACCTTTGCCATGACGCGGACATCCTCGTTCATCTGGCCCGGCGGCGTGCCAAACCAGTTGCACCGGGCCAGGCCAAGAGGCTGGCACGCAGGATCCGAGCTTACGGCTACATGGAGTGTTCGGCTCTGACCCAGCACCGCCTCAAAGATGTGTTTGACTGTGCCATCTTCGCTGCCATCAAGCACAAGCACAATGCTGCAAAAACCAAAACGCTTGGCTTGATTAAATGCCTGAAGACTTTTTGTGAATGTGGATGGAGGAGAATCTTCAAATAATGTGAGGAGATTGGCTGCTGTGTCTAGGACTGGAGTGGCAAACCTTTTTCTCAGTTGTGTATATTATAAACATTTTGGGCTTTTGATAACAGTTCCTCTTGGCTTTTATTTCTTTTTCAAATTGGATGGCCCACGAACTATGGGTTCCATACACTTGATTGATGAAATGGACAAACCAAAATGGACATCAGGAAGCCACATTACTCTGTCATGTTTTCTTCAACTCCTGTGTTTGTTATTATTTTTGCCATTCATGTTTTTGCATATGTGGAATAAGTGTACAATAAATGCACTACAGAGCA